TAGTACAGGCAAATGATCGCTGCCGGTATAGGGTAAGGTATGACATTCAACGAACGGCGGATTTTCTGTTGATATTATTAAATCAATTGTTGTATCTGAACGTAAAGATGTCTTCATTCCCGAATTACGTATCTCTAGATTTTTTCCATCAAGCCATTCGGATAACTGCCGACCTTTTGTATTGATAGTTGGACATTGCCAGTCCGGATGTTTTGCATTGAAGTCTCCGACGATAATTAGATTATTTGAGAAGCGCAGCAATGAGGTAAGCGCGGCTTTAGGAATTGGTTCATCAGGTGGTGAATAAAAAGATGCTATTGTAAACATTTTTTCCTTATATGAAACTAGTGCGGCTACTACATTAGGTGTGTCGATGTCTACAGGAACTGCGTGTAAAGTTTTGTCAATTGCTAGAACGACTCCTCCATGTGTATTCGAGCCTTCCTTGAGATAGACGTTGTAAGAGAAAAGTGTTTTTTGTACTGTTTTCAGCGGTATAACAGTGCCCAGTTCGTTGAGAGAAACAACAGATAGATGAAACTCACTAATGATACTCAAAAGATCACTCTGATTTGAATACAAATTTCGCATATTGTACTGAAGAAGAGAAAACTGAGTTCGTTGAGATTCAGGTTGATGATATTGGTCGATCCATGTTTTTGTCAGTTTTTCTCTAGATTGAGTCCAACATAGGTCCTGAACAATACTTAGTCCTAAATCAGTTTGTAGTTTTGTCATTCCGTTCGTTTTGATCAATAGTTCGACGAGAGTTCATTATATTTGTACACATTAAATTGTATGTTATCTTGTATAGCCATTCTAGGTAACAGATCTCGATGATACCGTTGAAGCTAGTTGGTCTACTTTGTATTTGCTGTTGCGTCTGCCTCTTCTCCAATATTCTCTGTATCTCGTTCACATGATTTATTAGTTGAGTTTTCGTTGCCTGGTGTCTTGTTATTTGAAAAACCGCATTATTCACTAATAGTATGCTCGGTAGCACTGTATTATATAAGTGATGTTCGATTTCATTTAGCTGGACTTGTTGCTGGTCAAGCTTTATCTCTAGTTCACATAGCTGTGCCGTTAGCTTTGTTTCGATGTTTTCAAGTCTTTGGTCGATCTTTCGTAGATGAGAGGAAAGAACGTGCTCAGTGTTTCTCGTACCGTTTATAGTTTGTTGATTTCCCGTTGCTGCATCGGCATAGCGCTCGTATTGATGAATAGAGCTGACTTGATTTATCTGATCGAGCGCTGGAAACTGTTCAGCTGAATGATAATCATAATTTTGCTGTTGACTTGAGCGTTCGATTATCAGTTCTGCACGATATCTCTTTTGTTGCTCGCTAATCTGTTTACGGATTCTCTGGATAATTGGGCATGATGGGTGACCGACTGAATGTTGATCGCTGCTACAATTTGCACATTTTTCTTGTCGCTCGCAGCCGTTGGACATATTATGTTGTTCGCCGCATCGCGCGCATAGTTGCTGATTTGGACATTCTTTTGTTTTGTGATCATGATGAAAACATTTCATACATTTATTAATGCGTAATGGTTTATAATACGGTCGCACTGCATGGGTCATTTGATTAATATAAATTTTACCGTCGACTAGTAGTAATTCGACATCTTTAATTGACGTGAAATCCGCACGTACACTATTTAGAGTTGTGTCGTTTTTTGTGTACATTCTCGTTAGTTGGACTAATCATGGATAGTGCTCTTTCATATCTTGTAAAATCTCTGCTTCATTCCACGTACGATGGAATTGTTGAATAATTATAGAGTATGACTCGGGAAATGATCGTGGCTTGTATAAATCGAACTCTACATTGCTTATTTTGTTTGGTCAGAGAGCATTGTCAATTAGATCTTTAAACGTTGGTGCATCGTTCGCAAACACGAGTAACCGATTCATATAGCCGAAACGTCCTGTAATATTGAGATATTTATTATGTTTGCTTTTCCAGTGCTCAATAATTTCTATTAATTTGGTTTTATCTGACATATTTTGAAGACTTTTAAAGGAAATTGAAATTGAGATTTCGATGTATTTATAAACATTTTTGACTGTATGGTGTCCTGCTGTTGATTGATATAGTTGAGGCTTGTATGAGAGTCGTCAAGATTAGATCTTGGTCGTTTTCCTGGTGTGTTTTCTTGATTTATTATCGGTCTATTTTGGTTGTGTCTTGTGTGTTGAGGTGAGTCATCGCCCATTTCCAACGTTTACAACGTGGAAAGGCGAAATAGTAAAATAGTAAATGCAAGAAGAAAAGAAGAAAAACAAATATACGTGTTAACAGTAGCGTGTGTGAAGAAAGGAATGAATACTAGACACTTTCCATCCTATATCTATTGAGATAAGTATTCAAGATCTGAAGAGAACACCTGAAAATTTGTGATTAGATAGAGCGTCATAAAGTTAAATATTTGCTGGAAGGGGAGTCTTGAATATTTTGTAGTTTTGGAGGAAACCAACAAATAAGGAAGGGTGTCAGAATATCACTACTCAGTGTATTCTCAAAAAGAGACTGTTTTTTTTTAACTTGCTGGGCTTGGTGTATTGTCATTGACAATACACGAGAATATACCAGAATACGCAAATATATAAATTTCTATAAAATGTGGTGGGCTTGGTGTATTCTCATTGACAACACGCAAATATTGCATAGTGGCTCATTCTCATGCTGCACCTGTCCCGCTCTCCGACCGCGACATTATATTATGTATTGTCAGTGAGAATACGCCGGGTCCAGCAAGCCCAGCACATTTTATAGAAATTTATATATTTGCGTATTCTAGTATATTCCCGATGAGAATACACCAGGCTCAGCAAGCCCAGGAAATAGTGTCTTTTTGAGAATACACTGCGTACTGATATTCTGACATCTCTGGTTGTTCGTCGAGTAGAGCCCTGCGGGATCGGGATTTTCGCTCTATATATATGCCAGATAGAAAAGAGAATGCATACACCTAACCGAATATATAGACATTAGTTGAACTTTCATTCAGCGAAAAGAGAGAAAGACTAGAGAACCAACTGCCCAGTGGGCAGATTAGAAAGCCGACCGAGTGAAACGTGTCTTAGAAACATGGTACACACCGTTTGAACACTGTAGTGCTCTAGTAGTAACATAGTAATGCATTCAATCGGTAGTAATGTTTCAGACTATAAATGCATCAAACGATACAGAAGTATGGAATGATAAGTAGCATGTGATTACTTAATGAATCACTCTACACTATTCATACTAAATGTATATGAAATTTCACGTGGCAATTAATTATCTCATAGAAAAGTTATTGAAAATATACTCAACTTTTGGGACTTAGTAATTAAAACATATGTCGAAAAAATAACTTCAGCTGTTTCATCTACCGCTCTTGCACTCTCGAATGGTCTTTTTTCCAAATCTGTACGATCAGTAATAGTTGAAGATGCTGCTGCTGACTCGAAGCAGAAAGTAGGTCTAGAAGAAGGAAGAATTTTTTGTAGTGAAACAGAATAAGTCTCTTCAAGTGTCACTCGATCGGCTTAAAAAACAAAAAAATATTATCATCGATGGCCATTTTTGGCAGGCCTGTATTTTAGTGAAAAATATTTTCGGGATTTAACGGGATTGTAATTAAACGTACGTAACGGGATCGGGATAGGGATCGGATTTTACTCTGCGGGATGAAAAAGCTCGAGCCCGCAGGGCTCTATCGCCGGCACATACTAGCATATGTGAAACATCCCTCCACATCTCATCCAATTGGATAAGTTGCAATCCGTCAGAATTTGTATGATACAGCAATTTTGTGCGAGGGAAAACATTTTCGTCAGAATAGCCTCTAAAACTAGACTTTATATAGACACAGAACAGTCGATTTCGTTTTGCAGTTTCTGCAAAGTTAAGTTCATGTGTCCGAACCTCTATCCGTACAAAAATTGATTGTGTTTTTCAATAGTTTTAGTTTAGAATACTATAGTGGAATATTTTTCCGCTTTGTATTCTGATAGAATAAATCTTATATTAACTAGGTTTTAGACTCCTCTAGGTTGAAACCGAAAAAATATTTTTTCTCTCGCTTTTCGACTTAATGTGTCAGAAAAACAGTTTTTTTGTTCTACGCTGATCTAGTACAACCCATTTTGGTATTTTGATCAATACTCCATCATGGACTTTGTCTAGGAAATGTTCTTTTTACTGAACGCTACAATGACTATACCCTCCACTTGTGTAATTGAAAGGTATTATCAAATAACTTTCGTTAGAAATACTTTGAGTACAATTCCTCTAATAGCGCAAGCGTAAAAATTATAGCAAGGGGTGCCGTTAACATATTGAACGATACCATGTGCTAGCAGGTTAGAGAACATTGTTGAACGCGTTCCTTTATTTTTTTATGTCATCTTCTGGCCTAACATTATGTCTTTTCTTAATCTTCGAATAGATTGCATTCATAACAGTGCGGGTAGTGTCATAATAATATTTTTCTCGTGGTGGCTAATTCTTATTTATTTATCAACGATAATACCTTGTATACAAAATTTTGCGTCCGGATACATGTCGTTTAAAACTTTATTGGAACTATCAGACGAGGTAAGCTACAAGCATTTCTCGATTGTCTCAAGGGAAATGTGAATTCTCAACTGGTACATCGTGATTGGCAAATATTATCTTCTTATATATCAGGCCATTTACGATAACCTGTCAATCGGATTAGTTGTTATTCTGAGAATCCAATTGAAAGCCTTTTGCTATGAAGAATTTAAGACGTCAGATATTAGTAGACAGAATTCAGCTTATAAGAGGCTATGACTTTCAACGCCAGAAGGTGCATATCTGTACACAAAGCTTTCGCACATACAAAAATAGTAGTTTGATTCACAATTGATTTCACATGGTAAAACTAACGATGAAATTCTTTTTAACCCTTCAGTCACAAAAACACAAGAAAAACATTGCTTTTTGCGAAAAACCCTTTTGCGGAGAAGCCCCGCCACTATTTTATTTATATCTGATTCGAAAGAGCACACAAAATAACCACTAAGACTGCAATAACCCTTTCTGAAAGTGCTTTTTTAAAAACCTCAGACCAAACACTCTATTGAGAGTCACTCTTATTACCGAAAAACGTGAATTTTCACAAATTTTCGTATTTCCTGGTTTTCTCAAAGACTATCAGACTCCTATGATTGGTTCATGACTCATTTAAAAGAAGGACTTTTAACTTTTTCTCTTGGATTACTTTTTCTCAAGGACTTTTTCTCTACTAATATGAACTGATGAAGATAAAAAGCATGCGCCATTAGATGTAGTTTTCAATGCTCTATTCATCTATTCAACGATATGTTAATTATTGCATTGGATCAACGGATCAAAACAGAGGTAAAAACCAGTAGGAAACCGGTCTCAAATGCAGTGCTGGTCGGAAAACACGCATAAAATCATAAAACTACATCGCAAAGAGCTCGTCGACGTCTCATGTTGTAGGAAAATGTTTGCTTTACATCTGTAACGACTCAAAAACAATTTGTGTATGCAGGTCTTTGAGATTTGTATCAAAATTTAGAATAAACAAGAAAATAATGAAACTTATGCCTATCTCCAACATTTGATTTAAAAGTACATCATGCTGGTGCTTCAAAATGTTCTACTATATATGAACTAATGCAGAATTTTCTGCTCTACAAAATCAAGTAAGATTTATTATGGTACTGCCATATGCATAGCGTATATTTAAAAGTACTGAGAAAAATGCAGTTTTAAAAAATATGAAATTTTTGAGTTTTCTATTATTTAGTCCTAGATAGTTAAACATATTATTATGTCTAAATACATGAACTTATGGAGTACACATCCTTCTTTTAAATGAGTCATGAACCAATCATAGGAGTTTGATAGTCTTTGAGAAAACCAGGAAATACGAAAATTTGTGAAAATTCACGTTTTTCGGTAACAAGAGTGACTCTCAATAGAGTGTTTGGTCTGAGGTTTTTAAAAAAGCACTTTCAGAAAGGGTTATTGCAGTCTTAGTGGTTATTTTGTGTGCTCTTTCGAATGAGATATAAATAAAAGTAAAATAAAATATTCCTCCAGATAGCCTCACGGTACCTAGATCAGTTTTCTGGCGAAGGCTCTCTTAAGTGATACACAGTGTATATAAAACTAAATCAGCCATAGGTCAGCACTTTCTAAAAAACAGGATACTCGGTTAATTGTTATCATTTTAAAATTATAACACGAGATCACCGCAGGTTTTCTGGCGAAGGTTTTCTCTTAAGACCGACCAGAAAACCTTGATTTGCTTAATATGTCAACAATATCGCGCAGCAGTTTGTTTTTTGTTTTTTTTATTTAAACATAGCAATAAAATGTGGGTAAATCGAGGCAAGTTCCATTGTATGAGGCTTCGGAAATTTAAAAATATTTGAAATTCTACATACGTGTTGATGTGTTTTTTATTACAGGAGTCGCCTACGTCTAAATCGCGTGGTGAAGGGGACAATTGTGCTTCTTTCGATGGGAATCTGGAATTTCGAAATGTTCAGTTCAGATATCCGTCACGAAAGGAAAAAGAAATATTGGAAAACCTAAACCTAAAAATTCAAAGTGGTCAGTCAGTGGCGTTTGTAGGTTACAGTGGCTGTGGAAGTATGTTGTATTGTATGTGTCTTATTGTTATGTTGGATTAACGTACATTTAGAGAGCACCATATTCAATCTTCTCTTACGTTTTTATGATCCGGATGTTGGACAAGTATTGTGAACACTTGATAACTTTTTCAGATCATGTTTATGTTTTATAATCATTTTAGATCATGTTAGATGGAATTAACGTTCGTACATTGAATATTGAAGCGTACAGGAAACAATTTGGTGTTGTTCAACAAGAGCCAGTTTTGTTTGATATGTCAATCGAAGAAAACATTCGGTTGGGAAAATTAAATGCTACAGACGATGAAGTAGTTCAAGCAGCAACCTTAGCAAATGCACATGATTTTATTATGGAGTTAGAGGATGTACGAGCTCTCCAATTAATGAACACTTGTCAATTGTATTCCGTTATCCACTTTTAGACGTACAAATCCATCTGCAATAACAAGTTAAGCGGCGGGCAAAAGCAGCGTATTTGTATCGAGGAGATATTCAATTATCTTGATGTGCAATCCAGTATAGCGCTTAATGTAAAAGTCAGAAATATGCGTAATAAATGTGTGGATATTCTAGAGCTGTCATTTCAAATCCTAAAATATTACTACTAGACGAAGCTACATCTTCGCTGGGTGAGATGCACTTCGCCGGATTGATAAGAAAAATTTAGTCTGATGCATTTGTTTTAGATAATATAAGTGAAAAACTTGTTCAAAATGCTCTCAATAAAGCACAAAAAGGGCGAACCACGCTTATTATTGCACATCGTTTATCGACGATAAGAAATGTTGATAAAATAGTTGTAATCGATAAAGGAAAAATCGTTGAATCCGGCACTCACGATGAATTGATTGAACAAAGGGATTTTTATTACAATTTAACCGTGTGTCAAGAACAAATCGATGATACTTTAGATGTAGAACAGGGTGAGTCTTTCAATTCATATTTCTTTGACTGAAAATCTACGGTCATATGAAAAACTGTCGGCATCGGCGTCTGCGGACATAAAAATCCAATAAAATAGAGGATTAGGTCGTTATCTATAAAAATGATATGGAATAGGCAGTCGATCATGATAAATCAGAATAACGTCACAAACACCTAGAGCGATTCTTCTGCGCAGCACAGTTATCTAAGAAATGTCTACAACTAGGCATCTTTCTTATGCCTAGTGGGTCAGCGCTTGTGGCACAGAAGACGATTACGAAGGCTGACCGATAAAAGTGCTCCCTTGAACTCTCCATCCATTTATTGCTCGGTTTATCCGTTCTCGTCAAAAGTAAGTTAGAGTGAATAGCAAATGCACGTTACTTGTAATTAAAGACGAGCATCTTCCCTTCCAATCCAACTAAATCTTCAACGATTTGACATTAGTCAAACGTTTCCTTCTGATGCAGCACAAAGAGAAAAGACTATAGGAGCAATAACAGATCAGAATTTGTTGGAGCTGTTCTAAGATACTTCCGCAATCATGCTCGAGCTAGTACCAGAAAATTCAACAGTCGGCATGCTTGAGGAGAAACAGGGTACATTCTTGTCAGTTTAAGAATTCCTCTAAAAGTGATGAGAGAAAGATCCACGAGTCTCACATCGCTTTTTGCATAAAAGAAATATAGACATACGTAATATATGATACTGATCCTGAGTATAATAGTCTTAGCTGCTACTAGATCTGCTCTGGAGACCGGTTCCCTAAAAGCCGCGTATATTTAATATAACTGAAAAACGCTTTCGTGAAATCGTTTTAGATAAAAAACGAGCTTTAGATATTTCACAGTATTATCAGCAGACTAATTAAATAAAGTAAAAAAGTCAAACAATGCTAATATATTTATTAGCCAGCTGATGATACTGTCAAGCATCGAAAGCTCGTTTTTCATGTCAAAGGATTTTACGAAAATGTTTTCAATTATATTAAATATACTTAATTTTACAAAAAACGTAAAAAAGTCAAAGGATGTCAAGATATCTGAAAACTACGTTTCCGAAACCAAAAACTTTTTTCTAGTTAAAGGTCCCCCTCCCCTCAGAAATGATGATTCTCGGTAAAAAGTCGATGTTGATATAAGGAAATGGAAACATAGCCTGAAGTGTCTACTTTCAGAATCTGTATCGCTTTCGGTTATAGAAATGATTTTTTGCGGCTTTCGAGCAAGTTTACTAGGAGCCTCGAAAAACTGGATCTTCAAATAATAGTTTTTTTCTAGAAACCTATGGAATTAAACTTTTTTTAAACGCATAGATTTGTAGAGCAAACTTTTCTGATCAAAATAAGACCTGGCACAATCCTATATGATGTTGCGGCAAAAAAGTTACAAGTATTTTCCCACAAGTCCTGAAACTGAGCATTTTATACAGCGTTTTCTCTACATAGAGGTTACACCAGAAGTACTTTCCAAGATTTATTAAGGTAAGAAAGCCATTTTCTGTAGAAAGCCTTTTGAGAATCCGGTTGGAAAACCCTTTCTTCAAGCTTTCTTTAGTTAAACTGTTTAATGCTACGTAGAGCAACCGAAGTTGTATATATTGTGAAATTTCCACTCCCAGAAACGAATATATTCTCACTTTGATTTTTTCGATAGACGAACGAGTTTGTCCCAGATTCTCAATAAATCTATCCTCAACCTAAATTTCTACATTTATTTTTCTTATGAAAAGATGCGCCAAAGCCCTGACTATGGGCAAGTAAAAACACAAATGTCTTCCAGTCAAATCTCCCATTACTACTTATAGACTAAACACAAGGCACTGAGAATTCTCCTCCTTACCTTACCTTACATCATAAATAAAACGGGAGGCATTGAGAATTCTCAGGGTAGGAACTTTTCTCCGCTCTCACTTCTTAACTAAAATTTCAACTTCTTCCTTATAGAAGTTCCTCTGATTTCTTTTAACAAGGTCAATAAAACTGGTTACTTGGGGGCCGGAGTTAAGGTGGAGAGTGAGAGTAAGTAACCCGATACCACAAATGTGTCGCATCTCCAACCAGCCATATCACAAGTAAGAGTAAATCCAACCACCGAAAATTGAAAGTTGAAATTGTAGTTAAGAAGTTGAAAATCATAGACTGAACAGTTGAAAATGAGAGATTGTAAAGCTGAAGTGTTGAATAGTTGAACTGTTAGTTTTCAACTTTTAAAAGCTGAATTCAATTTTAAACCTTTACATATATTCATTTTTTTCCGCTAGATTTTAATGTGCTTGTGCTGAAGTGGGGAAAGAAGGGAATGTAGCGAGAAGATAAGAGTGAGTCAGTACACAACATTGATGAGCTCTAGCTTTGTGTTTTCAACAAGATAGTAAAAATCGAGGATGGAATAAATTATAGATCTTTCACGAGAGAGTTTGTGGCAGCTGGCGACAACGTCTCACAAAATTTTACATCACGATACCTTATTTCTTACATAGTTGAAAGTATCCGGCATTATTCGATTGCGTCTTCTGATCGGTCAGAACATGAAAATATTCAAGACAGTGACAATCGTTCTGAATATGGAAAGTTCAGAAACTTCTTGCTAATACTCAAAATATTTCAATTGAATAAACCAGAATGGTTATATATTTTGATGGGGCTCGTAATGTCATTTTTAAATGGACTTGAATTACCGATAATGGGATATCTTGGTGCAAAATTATATTCCATCCTAGCTTCTCCGAATGAACAAACTCAGTTGAAATTGATGACAACTATATTAGTTATTGTTGCTATCGGAGGTTCAATGTCGCAGCTTTTTGCCAGTCTTGCTTTTTCAAAATCTGGCCGTGAATTAACACTGCGGATTCGATCAATGAGTTTCAAATCGATGTTACGACAAGAAATCGCTTGGCACGACGAGGAGGTCAATAATGTGGAAACCTTAACCGCCCAATTGTCATCGGATGCATCAGCGTTAGAGGTCAGTAATATAAACCAAGAGACTCAGTGGTATTTTGTTCCATTCTTAATGAGATCGAATACGATGTTTTCCTTGTAACCAAAAATGTCTGTAAAGTTGCCATCTCGTAGTTATAATCACGTTCTTGATCAAATTAGTTATGCGATCCCGTTTCAATTTGTGTTTGAAAGCGTGGTAGAATCGCAACAAGATTACAACAGGATCGCATCTAATTCGCTGTAGATCTCGCGACGACGTTTTTATTGTGCTTCGTTGAGGAAAAGTTTTCAAGTTTATGATTATTCTTTGTCTTCCTGTGACTTTGTATTTGCTCTATCTCAGGCTGTAACAACGTAATTCTTTTTTTTGCCTCCATCCGTCGTGGGAAGATTACAAATAACAGACAGAAAAAGCGTGTGTATATATCATCCATGGTGTTCACTCAATACAATTCAATTAGTCATTTCTGCACTCTAAAACACAGTGCGGGGAGCGTTTTTCTGTACAAAAGACGCCAGAGTTCAGCAGTTCAATATTCATCGTCGCTATACTCAGTTTCTTAAAACGTCGTTCCTAGTCATAATTAAAACATATCTATAAAAGGTTAAGACGTTCAAACTATCCCTTCCTTCACAGATTTGGCTAATTTCACCCCCTTTCAGCACTGCTTTTCACGAATATAATATTCCGTTCGATGACGTTGAAATCACATATTCCTTACACGTCCTCCATGCGCCACAAGATAAAAATCAGTCTTATTTCTGCCTTATGAAAACAAGACTAGAATTCTTTAAAAATATTATCTGACGTTTGCTGCTTCAGTTCCAAGAGCTTTATAACATGTAGACATAACCTCTAGCATATCAAGAAAAACTGTCAAACAAGATTTCAGAAACCAACTGGAAAGTACCAGAAAAAGTTTCTGAAAATCTAAAAGTTTTCAACCGCTCCGCACGTGCTTTCCATATTTGTTCGTTTTTCATAGCTCCTGCGTCGGCCTCTGTTTGGGTGTACCTAAAGTATGACTAGACTAGGGTAAGTCCGAGTCCTGAGTCCATTTCGAGTCCGGTAATCCTTTAGATGGTTGATTTATTTCTCTTTTTTCTCTGTGCCATTTAATACATCATTCTTGTTGAAACAGAAAAAGTTACAGTAAAATTTTTAGCGAAAGTAATGTTTTCAATGTATTATAATCTATAACTCACATATTGATATTGAATGAACAGGTGTAGGCCGTCCTTGAATCGAATCGAAGTCAGAACAATAAAAATAAAGAAAAACTTTAGTGTTCATTTATGTTAAAACTTGAATTGATCGGACTAGAAATACAAAAGCTCAAGTTCGAGTCCGAGTCTTTCGAAAGAATCGCCAGTCCGAGATCAAGTCCGAGTCCTCAAAAAAATCTTCCAGTCCGGACTCGCCCATTACGGTCGGAATCAGACTGTATGGCTCCGATTGTAATAGTACAGCAGTAGTATCCTAAGCGCTATTTTAGCTTTGTACCTTTCACACAAAAGAGTAAATAATGTTGAACCGGTATAGTAATCTAAGAAACTGTTTGCTTTATTTACATTTAACGAGAAAAATGAAAGTAATTCCAAAATTCTTTTTGAAGGACAGTTTTGAACCCTATAACTCATGGAAGCATTCTCGTTGTTGAACCTACTCCTACTTTAGCTTAATTTCGAGTTTTTACTAGAAAGACAACGCAGAAAACGTGCTTTCCAGAAGGAGTAGCTCTATTCTGCACCTTTGGTTGTCTATCTTTCTTGTCAGCACAGGTAAGCAACAAAAGACTCTCTTGCAGAATCATGAATGATTTTATCTTTTTCAGAGTTTCACCGGAGAACGTATCGGTATTATCACGAAAGCAATTTCTGCGCTCTTTACCGCGCTGATTGTGTCGTTTATTGTCAATTGGAAACTTTCATTAGTTTCACTGATGTTTATCCCATGGGTAATAATGGGCGGAATGTTTTTAGAGGTACGAAATGACAAAAATCGATCGACTGTCGCCGATGTACAAGGTGGACAGGTATTGTAGATTGCTTACTGTAGAAATCACAAAATGAATGTGACATTTATCTTACATGAGCCGTTTTCTTGCAAGCAACTTTTAAAATAAAGCATTGAGGTTCTTATATGGTTGCTCGTAACCAGATCTACCGACTAGGATATAAAACTTATTTTTTCAAGCCTATTTGATGTCTTTTTGTCAACATAGACTCCAGGGAGTTTTCGAGCTTCTTGGAAAAAGTGCGTTTTCTGGAAAAATGATAGTAGCTATTTGGAAAACTACCTTTTGTTCTTCAACTATTAAAGTGTCAATGAAGGTTTTGGTTATATTTTAGAGTTTTTGAAAAACTGTTTTTCCAGAAAACGAGTCTTCGAATGTTTAGGCGCAGCTGCTATGGTCATATTCGGAAGCAGCATGGCCGATAACCTAGTATCCACTAGCTTTTGTTCGGAAAGCGTAAACAGTTGGGAAACTTCCCTCGTAAGTGAGTGTACGGCAACTTTGAGGGAAATTTACCTCGATACTTCAGGCAGATCAGCTATTTGTTCATATCGGACAAAATTATCTAGTGTTTGTGGTAATTTTTGCGCAAAAGTGAAGCTTAACACATACCATCCAGATAAGCTCAACTTTTTGTCCACGCCTGGCGCTAAAAACCGCGAAAGCGCCAATGCAACTGTTATATCACGTGAGTGAAACCAGCTAGAGTTGATGTTTTCAAAAAGTGTAAGAATTAGTTCCCACATACAAAATAAAAGATATTTAAAAGAATTCATTGAGAAACTAAAAAAGTTATTTTTTTTTTATGCCACTAATGAGAACAATATGATGACTGTACGTTTCACACATATATCGTTATCTTTGGGTCTACCGGACTAGTAAAATGCTACTAGTAAAATTGCGGGTCTATAAACTAATGTTAAAAAGAAGCATAAATACAAATTTCTCCTATATCTTCCGAAAGTTGTACATACATACAGATGAAAACCTTTGCTGTAGATCGAATTTATTTGCTGTAGAAATATGCCTGAGAATCATCTTGTTCTCGGGGAGGAAGTATTAACTAAAAAAGTTTGGAAAAGTTGGAAACTAAGAAAAAAGATTTAGGAAGTTCACGAGTAATCACGCGTGGGAACTTTTTTACACGTGGTAACTCGTGAGGATTGATTCGACGACTATGAATATGAGATTTATTCAGTAGTTTCTCAGGCAAGTTAGCTCAATAGTAATATCGTAGATTTCTAAGTCAAAGTACCCTGGTTCGACTCTTACTTTGCGGTGATATATATAAGATGTGATATTTTAGAAACTAGTGGTCACACGTGGAAAAAGTTATAGATGAAGTTGCATTGATGAAACCTGCATTATACCTATCTAACTTTGATCTATGTTTTCTACTAGTGGGTACTGCAAGTAATTGGTAACATTCGCACAGTTGTAGCATTAAATCAAGAACGTTTTTTTATCTGTAAATACGAAGATATCTTCAATAAAGCATTTTGGTAATGTATATCTCACGTTAACGTCCAGTTTATTGCTGCCGCTAAAGTAATCACGTGGCTTGGTTTGTGATGGACGATGCATGGCGAAAACAAATTAGTAACCAAGAGCTTAAATAGAAATGCTTGAATACTTGAAATATTTCGAAAACTGATTGGGAAAACGGCGAGGGAACCGCTTCTTTAAAGCAGATTGATGTTGATAGGTGTTAATTACTAATATAGTGAATAACTGTGCTTGTGACAGATAAGTGCTTATCTGAACCGGTGTTTGGCATAAAGTTTTTAGAATATAATACATAGTAAGTAGGTTATACAAATGCTTCTGCGCAGCAGACTTTTGCGTATTATCAACAATCTCCACACTTTTTTTTCAGGAAAAATATTTGGCAAATTCAGTTGCAAGCATTAGGATATGGGATAGCATATTCATATCTATTTTTTTTTGAGGCCATGACGTTTAAGTTTGGGATGAAGCTAATGAAAAACGAAGGCGTGACATATTTCGATATCATGATGTAAGTACGTGCATACTAACATATAGCCTATTTTGTGCATTCGCATTTTAAGTGCCTACGCCAGCACATAACATGTTTGCGGAGTAAAAGAACTTTAGAAAGTACAGGATAAGGAAATGAGTATGCCTTAAGCCTCATAGCGCATATCAAATTTAAATAAATCTTCCTTCAGCTGTAAGAATTCAGGTTTTCTGAACAGAGGCGGCTATCTTGCATTTCTCCAATCTCAATATAAGATCGATAAAAAAGAAGATTCAAAAATTCTAAAAAGTCGGAAATGCTTCTCAATAGGGATGTTACACCTTGCATCAAAGATCGCATGATTTCATTATTTAAAACCCCCAAGCTCTACCGAGTTTTTGGATCAGACTTAACGAGTTTTATCTACTCTATCCAAAACTAGTGCTAGGACTGGTCATAATCAATAAAAAAAAGTGTCGAGCTTGATAAAGCTTGTTAAAAATACAGATAAAGGTCAACTTTCACCAAGCTTTACCAAGTCCAGCACTTTTTTTTATAGATTTTGACCAAACTCTAGCATTAGTACTGGATAGCGCAGAGAAAACTGGTTAAGTCTGATCCAAAAGCTCAGTAGAATTTGGGACTTTTGAATAATGAAAACGTGCAATCTTTGATGCAAGGTTCCAAAGCTTGTAACATCCCTACTTCTCAAAACAAATTTTCGCTTTATATTCTACACTTTTGCTATTGTACTTTTAAATATGCTTGAAAACACTTTACATCGTATTGTACATTTGCACATACAATCTCTTATGCCCACAAACCACGGACACGGCCCGTCTACCGAAGTTTGCTATCGTGGGTGTGTTTCCGTCACGGTTTTCCACTAAGTTATAACCTTCATAACCTTTTAACGAAAAACATTAGAGACTCGAATAACATTTTGATGGAAAGAAAATAGATTCAATCTAATTCTTCGTAAACGTTTATTGACAATAAAAGTGAAGTTGAGCAGTATATAGTTTTCACTTTTTTGGCCCCAAAAAAGTTTTTGAAGCATTAGCTTGAATCCAGTTTTGATGAGTTTTGTCTCTTCGTTCTAAT